ATGATGTCTGCTTGTGTTGTTTTACCATTTTGTAAAAGTGAGTAAAGGTAAAATACAAAAATATGGTCAAAAAATGTAAACATTTTTGGGAATTTCCCAGAATTCCATAGGTTTGAATGGGAGCAGTCAAAACGACGGCTCTTGGAGTTCTAGTTTCACATGTGTAGGAGTCGTAGTGTTAATCAACATAAGCTAGCTGGAGCCTATTTCCTTGTTTATTATTAGATATGGGTTTCTCTCTGACGTCGTTAGCGGTGTTGTTAATTCAATCCAATCCACATTATTTATTAAGCACAATTTATCAAACAAGTGCTGCACAGAGATAAAAATAACACATTTAATTGTACAGGTTTGCCAGCTTCATATGGTTAAAAAATGTATATATAAAAAGTAAAACAGTAGGTACGCAAGCTGGAGTTTCCCCCAAAATCTTATGTTTTATGAAAATTCCGATCCAGGATCACAGAGAGCGATAAAATACAGATTATTTCAGCCTCAAAGCGGTCACTGAGCGAGATGAGCGAGATGAGATGATTACTTTGACATGGAAGTCAATAGGAGCCGGAGCAAGTTGGAGCTCTTTGTCTATGAGCACTTCCCTATCGGGCTTCACCGAGCTAGCGGGTTAGCACCGTCCATCTGTATACAGTCTGTGCTAGGACATCCATTAGAATTAGAGAATTAGAATCACATTTTTTGCCGTTTAAATAAACAGGAAGTCACTAACCAGGAATTTGCTTTGGGCTCAAGATGCAAAGAGTGAGAATAGGTAAAGGCATAACAAAAAACACGTAAAACATCTTAATAAAATTCCTTAAAATTACTACTACACAAGTGTTTTTTGTATATTAATGCAAATATCGTAACATTTCACGCAAATTCAGTTTTTCCCCTTTTTCCAATTAAAGCTGAGGTACTTCATTTTTTGTCTTCATAAATTACACTTTGTCGTTTAACAAAAATGCATCAAATCAGACCACAACATGCTTCATCTTATTAGAAAACATATTTTTTCGATAGCTGTAAGAAAGAGCCCAGAGAGTCAGTATATGACTATTTGGGCTGCGAGCTGATTGGCCGAGATTGGCAAAAGGTTTGACTGAGGCCAAAAAATACAAGCACGAGAAAGTTAGTGATAGAAGCAACTGTTTTGGGAGCAAGGAACTACAGGAGTTATGGAATGTTATTATCATTCCATTTTATGCCCGTCATCTTATAAACTTTCATGTGAGCTGTGCAGGGCAGGGCCTGGTTAGTACTGTGATGGGAGACCTCTGGGACCGCCATGTGTCACAGTGCATGGGGCGGCTGCGGCTGTAAAGTGCCAAAGTGTGGTTGTGTACTTAGGCCAGACACTTCACCCACATTAAAATGAGTCTGGTGGTTGTGTGAATGGTTGGTGGTGGTGGGAGGGGCTGATGGCACAGACTGGTTGCCTCGCTTCTGTCAGTGTGCCCCAGGGCAGGTGTGGCTATGGTAGTAGTTTATCATCACCGTGTATGGAGTGAAAGAATAAATGACATGTGAAGCATCTTTGAGAGTCCAGAAAAGCGCTATTATTATTATTATTATTATAACTACTAATGAAGGCAAGTTTAATTGTATAGCACAGTCCACACAAGGCAACTCAAAGTGCTTAAGACAAGATCGTAAAATCATAAATAATCGCCGCACATTAACGAGTAAAGACACAATCATTCAGTTGTAGCGCAGATAAGTTTTTTTTTCTTTTTTACCTGGATTCGAATGTTTTAAATGGATTTTTATGTGATTTTATTGTAAAACAATTTGGTCGCCGTGAGTCTCTATGAATACAAAATTGAATGGATTGATTGGATTAGATTTGAAAACATTGTCAAAGAAGCCTGTCTCACATTTCCGGGAAGACTGTTCTAGAGTTTAGCTGCATACATCTAAAACGAACCGTAGCAATGTATTGTTTTCACATTGAGGTCCGTGCTGCGTGAGGACCATGCCCCCAACGCGGTCTGTCTACGGGATTGAGGACCGGTGTGAGTACTGCTGCTGCTGCTGCTGCTGCTGCTGCGGGCCTGCTGCAGAGGATGATGGTGGGGGGTAACCAGATAAGATGCTATTGTTTGGGGGAGCAGCCCACCACGCACGGGATAGCCCCATGTGCCACGCAACTCACCAAAATCACCACAAAAACCTGGACAGAGCCAAACAATAATATGGATTCTTTAGAACTCACGCACCTCTCAAAGACGAGCCGGACCATAAAGATGCAAAACGCCACGGGACACGCCAGGTACAGGTCCTCCGCTTGTGGGAACGTGGCCTCCTCCGTGTTCTTCAGGTCCGCCCAGGTGACGTTGTGGGGCAGCCAGAAGCGCTCGTTCCAGAACCAGGCCAGGATCCCGGACATGGCTGTGAGTGCGAGGCGGCCGACGCGGGGGCAGCAGGCGGACAAGAGGAGCTGGAGGATGGGTCTGACTGAGAGCGTGTTGGGCCGAGGAGATGGGGATGAGAGCGGCCCGCCTCTGCTGTGTGCGTACGGGCGTCTGATTGGCTCTCGCGGCTGTCACTCAGGGAGGCGGAGCTGCGCTGAGAGGACCGCGCTCGCGAGGCCCAATGTCAACAGAGTTTTTAAAGCTCCTGTACCTAACTTCTAACACGTGTTTATGAACGACTGACGGAATTAAAGAGTTACGTTAGAAGCACGACTAACCACAATACTGAATTAACTTAGATGCACGGCTAACACAATGACTACATTAACCTTGAAGCATGGCAAACCACAACAAATTAGTTTACTTAGAAGCAAGGCCAACACAATGTTTAATTACCTTAGAAGCATGGCTAACCAAAGCGCATGTATTAACTTACTAACTTTATTGTAGTTAGCCGTGCTTCTAAGTTTGTCAATTTGTTGTGGTTAGCCATGCTTCTAAATGTAATGAAATAATGAACTTATAATCGTGCGACAAACCACAATTAGGGGATCGACTTAGAAGGATGGCTAACCACAGTGAATGTGTGAATTTAGAAGCACGGCTAACCGCAACAAAGGATTTAAGTAAGAGAAGGGTCGTGTGAGCGCGGCTCCCTCGGTGCAGGCCTTCAGAGTGCAGCTCCGCGTCTGCAGATATATACTATACCACATAACACTATTAATAGTTATATATCGTATTAGTCTATTCAAAGGTCTGTGCTTTAATAAGTAACTATAATAGGTTTATTTATTTTTTATACAGAACTCTTATATTATTTATTTTTGTTTGAATTTTTAATTATTTTCAATTTGACTGAATTTTCTCTAATACAATGTCTCCACCTTCTGGCCAATGTGTGTACGTGCATGTTCCTTGTGTTCCTGCCTTCGTGTCTCAACAAAGTTTATCAAAAACTAAAACAAACAGGAAATACAGTATACTTTTCGACCACACTTTTTATTTAAATTATTATTATTGCAATGGTACTAGCCTCCTCTACAACTACCCTCCAACGACCTGGGGAAATCTATATTGGAGACAGTTGAGATTAAGAGATCCTTTATTCGTCCCACAGTGGGGAAATTTCAGTGTTGCATCCCAAGTTACAGAACAGTAGATAGTGATATTAGCTTATGTAAAGATGGTGATGGGTTTAGCTTCACCAAAACACTCTTGACAAACAGACAAACAGTAAAACCAGCTGTATACAGATGGATAATGCTAACTTGTAAATTTACACTGTAAATTTTACTATTCAAACTTTAGGGAATAAAGTTGGTTATTTTTTCTTTGTCATTTTTAGAATGGAGCGACACTTGCAAACGTTACTCAAAGAGAACGATCCACTGCTGCTGGTGCCTAAATCACCTCCTGGCTGGACCATGAGGGGCAGTGAGGGACCAGGAGGGAAATTGGGGTACCGGAGATCAGATGGGGACTCCTCCCAGCTCTGATCTCTCCTCTCTTTTCTCTGGCTTTTCCTCTCTGCTCTCTGTCTGGTCTTTCCTCTCTGGTCTGTCCTCTCTGGTCTCTCCTCTCTGGTCTCTTCTCTCTGGTCTCTTCTCTCTGGTCTCTCCTCTCTGGTCTCTCCTCTCTGGTCTCTCCTCTCTGGTCTCTCCTCTCTGGTCTCTCCTCTCTGGTCTCTCCTCTCTGGTCTCTCCCTCTCTGGTCTCTCCTCTCTGGTCTCTCCTCTCTGGTCTCTCCTCTCTCCTCTCTGGTCTCTCCTCTCTGGTCTCTCCTCTCTGGTCTCTCCCTCTCTGGTCTCTCCTCTCTGGTCTCTCCTCTCTGGTCTCTCCTCTCTGGTCTCTCCTCTCTGGTCTCTCCTCTCTGGTCTCTCCTCTCTCCATCTCTGGTCTCTCCACTCTGGTCTCTCCCTCTCTGGTCTCTCCTCTCTGGTCTCTCCCTCTCTGGTCTCTCCTCTCTGGTCTCTCCTCTCTGGTCTCTCCTCTCTGGTCTCTCCTCTCTGGTCTCTCCTCTCTCCTCTCTGGTCTCTCCCTCTCTGGTCTCTCCTCTCTGGTCTCTCCTCTCTGGTCTCTCCTCTCTCCTCTCTGGTCTCTCCTCTCTGGTCTCTCCTCTCTGGTCTCTCCCTCTCTGGTCTCTCCTCTCTGGTCTCTCCTCTCTGGTCTCTCCTCTCTGGTCTCTCCTCTCTCCTCTCTGGTCTCTCCCTCTCTGGTCTCTCCTCTCTCCTCTCTGGTCTCTCCTCTCTGGTCTCTCCCTCTCTGGTCTCTCCTCTCTGGTCTCTCCTCTCTGGTATCTCCTCTCTGGTCTCTCCCTCTCTGGTCTCTCCCTCTCTGGTCTCTCCTCTCTGGTCTCTCCTCTCTGGTCTCTCCTCTCTGGTCTCTCCTCTCTCCTCTCTGGTCTCTCCCTCTCTGCCGTCTTTACCATTGTTACATTGTAATCTAACTCATATGAACCTGTTTCAGACTCTCTCTTTAGTGTGAACTTATATATCAGAATGTTATTATGATAAATATGTTTTTATGGATTATATCTGAGTTTTATTTTCTTATAACTTGTTTGCACCATGAGCAAAATCACTTTCTGTAACTTAAATTTGGAATAAAAATAATTTGGATTCTGATTAATGTGATGTCACCAGCTCCACTTACAGATTTTGTATACTAACTTTCTATAAAAGATTTAAATAATAACTTAACGTAACATAAGTAAATTTTCACCAAAAAATCTAAGAAATATAAAAATTGTTGCCTAAAGTGTGCTAGACATATAGTTTACCAGTAATAGTCATACAAACGTCATTAGCTCCAATAGTATCTCTCCATTGGTTTGGTCTCTCTCTGGTCTCTGCTGTCCCTCTGGTCTCTCATGTCTCCTGTCTCTCATGGTCCCTATGGTCTCTAATGATCCCTCTGGTCTCTCATAGTCCCTCTGGTCTCTGTGGCCTCTCAGGGTCCCTCTGGTATCTCAAGGTTCCTCTGGTCTCTCATGGTCCCTCTGGTCTCTATGGCCTCTCAGGGTCCCTCTGGTCTCCAATGGTCTTGCTGGTCTCTCATGGTCTCTCATGGTCTATGGTCTCACTTGTCTCTCATGGTCACTCAAGGTTCCTCTGGTCTCTGCTCTCTCATGGTCCTGCTGGTCTCTCATGGTCTATGGTCTCACTAGTCTCTCATGGTCACTCGTCTCTGGTGTCTGGTCTCTCATATTCTCGGGTCTCTTATGGTCTCTGGTCTCTCATGGTGGGGACCATGGTCTTTTGTCTCTGGTTTCTCATGATCTCTCGTCTCTCTGTTGTCTGATTTGTCTCTCTGGACTTGTCTCTCTTCTCTCTCATGGTCCTTCATGGTCTCTCATGGTCACTCTGGTCTCTCTTCTCTCTCATGGTCCCTCTGGTCTCTCTTCTCTCTCATGGTCCCTCTGGTATCTCATTGTCTCTCTTCTCTCTCATGGTCCCTCTGGTCTCCCATGTTACCACTTGTCTCTCATGGTCCCTCATGGTCTCTAATAGTCTCTCATGGTCTCTCTGGTCTCTCATGGTCCCTCTGGTCTCTCATAGTGTCTCATGGTCTCTCTTCTCTCTCATGGTCTCTCTGGTCTCTCATAGTATTTCATGGTCCCTCTGGTCTCTCATAGTCTCTCTGGTCTCACATGGTCCTTGTGGTCTCTCTTCTCTCGCATGGTCTCTCTGGTCTCACATGGTCTCTCTTCTCTCTCATGGTCTCTCTTCGCTCTCATGGTCCCTCTGCTCTCACATGGTCCCTGTGGTCTCTCATGATCCCTCTGCTCTCACATGGTCCCTGTGGTCCCCCTGGTCTCTCATGGTCCCTCTGCTCTCACATGGCCCCTGTGGTCCCTCTGCTCTCACATGGTCCCTGTGGTCCCGCTGGTCTCTCATGGTTCCTGTGGTCCCCCTGGTCTCTTATGGTCCCTCTGCTCTCACATGGCCCCTGTGGTCCCTCTGCTCTCACATGGTCCCTGTGGTCCCGCTGGTCTCTCATGGTCCCTCTGCTCTCACATGGTCTCACATGGTCCCTGTGGTCCCCCTGGTCTCTCATGGTCCCTCTGCTCTCACATGGCCCCTGTGGTCCCTCTGCTCTCACATGGTCCCTGTGGTCCCGCTGGTCTCTCATGGTCCCTCTGCTCTCACATGGTCCCTGTGGTCCCGCTGGTCTCTCATGGTCCCTGTGCTCTCACATGGTCTCACATGGTCCCTGTGGTCCCCCTGGTCTCTTATGGTCCCTCTGCTCTCACATGGTCCCTGTGGTCCCGCTGGTCTCTCATGGTCCCTCTGCTCTCACATGGTCTCACATGGTCCCTGTGGTCCCTCTGGTCTCTCATGGTCCCTCTGCTCTCACATGGTCCCTGTGGTCCCTCTGCTCTCACATGGTCCCTGTGGTCTCTGGTCCTTTAAGCCTGCTGAGTGACGGTGCAGTGTGCGGATGTGCGCCGTTACTTTCCGGGTTGTCCTCCGGAGCAGCGCGCAGAGCAGAACAGCGCAGCGGAGGAGAGGAGCGCTCAGCCCGGGCTCTCACCGCCGCTCTCACCGCTCTCTGACCACCACCACCCCCCGGTCCGTGATGTCGGAGCAGGGTGACGCTCCGGCCCCAGTCCCGGCCCCGGTCCAGGCTTCCACCGCCAGCTGGCCCATCACCCGGGAGGCGTACGAGCTGCAGGAAGTCATCGGTCAGTATCACCGCGTGTATTATGTGCTAGTGCGGCTGTGGTCTCCGTGAACCCCGTGGTCTGCTGTGGTCCCCGGGCAGATAGGCCTCCCGGTGTGACTGGTGCTACCGGCGCGCATCGCAGACCCATGCGGATGTGACGCCGTGGTTCAGGGCTTCATCACCGGCGGCTCTGATGTCATGATCTCCGCGTGAGGACGTGAGAGCCCGGTGACGGTGACCACGGGAGAAAGTCAGTCATTGTAGCCTTCAATATGATAGTATAGTGTTACAAACATACTGTTAACAGATACACACATAGTTTACCAGTAATAGTCATACAAACTTCAATGGTATCTCTGCGCTGGTCTGGTCCCTCTCTGGTCTCTATCTCTCTGCTGTCCATCTGGTCTCTCATGTCTCCTGTCTCTCCTGGTCCCTCTGGTCTCTCATGGTCCCTTTGGTCTCCTGTCTCTCATAGTCCCTCTGGTCTCTGATGGTCCCTGTTGTCTCTCATAGTCCCTCTGGTCTCTGTGCTTTCTCATGGTCTCTCACGGTTCCTCTGGTCTCTGCTCTCTCATGGTTCCTCTGGTCTGTCATGGTCCCTCTGGTCTCTCATGGTCCCTCTGGTCTCTCATGGTCCCTCTGGTCTCTCATGGTCCCTCTGGTCTCTCATGGTGGCTTTGTGACGGTGGCGACGGGAGAAAGTCAGTAATTGTAGCCTACATTATAGTGTTACAAACATACTGCAGTAACAGACAGTCTGAGAACTGCAGTACTACAGTATCAAAGTACTACAGAAGTACTCAGATGCAGTAACAGACAGTCTGAGAACTGCAGTACTACAGTATCAAAGTACTACAGAAGTACTCAGATACTACATCACACTAATGCATGGCTAAGGTGACTTTTCTCCCAATCTGTGCTATAGCTACATATTATGATTTGAAACGCCATTTAGATCAGGGCTCTCCACGTCTTGGGCTGGAGCTGTACTCTCACCCTCTCTCTCTCATTCTCACCCTCTCTCTCTCACTCTCACCCTCTCTCTCTCACTCTCACCCTCACTCTCACCCTATCTCTCTCACTCTCACCCTCACTCTCACTCTCTCACTCTCATCCCTCACTCTCATCCCTCACTCTCATTCCTCACTCTCTCACTCTCACCCCTCACTTCTCACCCTCTCTCTCTCACTCTCACCCTCACTCTCACCCCTCACTTCTTACTCTCACCCTCACTCTCTCACTCTCATCCCTCACTCTCACCCTCTCTCTCTCACGCTCACTCTCACCCTCACTCTCACTCTCACCCTCACCCTCATTCTCACTCTCACCCTCACTCTCATCCCTCACTCTCACCCTCTCTCTCTCATCCCTCACTCTCTCACTCTCACCCCTCACTTCTCACTCTCACCCTCACTCTCTCACTCTCATCCCTCACTCTCACCCTCACTCTCACTCTCACCCTCATTCTCACTCTCACCCTCACTCTCACCCTCATTCTTACTCTCACCCTCACTCTCACCCTCACTCTCACCTCTCACCTCTCACCCTCATTCTCACTCTCACCCTCACTCTCATCCCTCACTCTCACCCTCTCTCTCTCATCCCTCACTCTCACCCCTCACTCTCTCACTCTCACCCTCACTCTCACCCTCACTCTCACCCTCACTCTCACCCTCATTCTCACTCTCACCCTCACTCTCACTCTCACCTCTCACTCTCACCCTCACGCTCATTCTCACCCCTCACCCTCACCTCTCACCCCTCACTCTCACCCTCACTCTCACCCTCACCCTCACTCTCACCCTCACCCTCACCCTCACCCTCACTCTCACCTCACCCTCACCCTCACTCTCACCCTCACCCTCACCCTCACTCTCACCCTCCTTTTCACCCCTCACCCTCACTCTCACCCTCACTCTCACCCTCACCCCTCACTCTTACCCTCACTCTCACCCTCACTCTCACCCTCACTCTCACTCTCACCCTCACTCTCACCCTCACTCTCACCCTCACTCTCACCCTCATTCTCACTCTCACCCTCACTCTCACTCTCACCTCTCACTCTCACCCTCACGCTCATTCTCACCCCTCACCCTCACCTCTCACCCCACACTCTCACCCTCACTCTCACCCTCACGCTCACCCTCACTCTCACCCTCACTCTCACCCTCACTCTCACCCTCACCCTCACTCTCACCCCTCACTCTCACCCTCCTTTTCACCCCTCACCCTCACTCTCACCCTCACTCTCACCCTCACCCCTCACTCTTAAGCCTAGCGTACATCGGACTGGCAACTGATTATATCCGTCGCCTCTGAGTTGCTGCCCCGCACACATCGACAATCTGGCGAAAACGGGCAACTCTGAGTCGCAGGCCAGTCTCTTGAATAACAGCGCGTACATCGACAGCAACTGGCCTCAACTACAGTGTGTTTTCTGACAACAAACTGTTGCGGGCTCGCAATACACGCAATACACACACGTTGTCGGAGCGGCGCATGGAGCGCGCACATCGGGGCAACTGAGGACAACTAGTTGCCGAAAAGTAGAACACGGGCAACTGACTGGAACTGGAGACCGACTGATCATCTCCAGTTGTAAGAGCGCGCACATCGACCGATTTCGCCAACTGATCATCTCCCATCATCTCCTCTCAGTTGCCAAAAGCCGCCTTGCAACTAGTTGTCCCCAGTTTCTCTGTCGATGTACGCTAGGCTTTACTCTCACCCTCACTCTCACTCTCACCCTCACCCCTCACTCTCACCTCTCACTCTCACTCTCACCCCTCACTCTCACTCTCACTCTCACTCCTCACTCTTACTCTCACTCTCACCCCTCACTCTCACCCTCACTCTCACCCTCACCCCTCACTCTCACCCTCACTCTCACCCTCACTCTCACCCTCACCCCTCACTCTCACCCTCACCCTCACTCTCACTCTCACCCTCACCCTCACTCTCACCCTCACTCTCACCCTCACCCCTAACTCTCCCCTCACCCTCACTCTCACTCTCACCCTCACCCTCACCCTCACCCTCACTCTCACCCTCACCCTCACTCTCACCCTCACCCTCACCCTCACCCTCACTCTCACCCTCACCCCTCACTCTCACCCCTCACTCTCTCACCTCACCCCTCACTCTCACCCCTCACTCTTACTCTCACCCTCACTCTCACTATCACCCCTCACTCTTACTCTCACCCTCACTACTCACCCTCACTCACTCCACCCTCACCCTCACTCTCACCCTCACCCTCACTCTCACCCTCACTCTCACCCCTCACTCTCACCTCACTCACCTCCACTCTCACCCCCCTCACTCTCACCTCACTCTCACCCTCACTCACCTCACTCTCACTCACTCTCACCTCTCACCCTCACTCTCACTCTCGCTCTCTCACTCTCACCCCTTGCTCTCACTCTCACTCTCACCCCTCACACTCACTCTCACTCTCATCCCTCACTCTCACTCTCACCCCTCACTCTCATTCTCACTCTAACCTCTCACCCTCACTCTCACCCTCGCTCTCTCACTCTCACCCCTCGCTCTCACTCTCACCCCTCACACTCACTCTCACTCTCACCCCTCACTCTCACTCTCATTCTCACTCTAACCTCTCACCCTCACTCTCACCCTTGCTCTCTCACTCTCACCCCTCATCCTCAGGCGCCCCAGGAGTTACTTACTGACTTACTGTAATGAGTATTTAATGTATATATTTCCAGGTGTGTTGTGTACTAATACAGTGGTAATGTACGGATGGTAAGCCGTAATTTTGCATGTAAACATTCCCTTTGGTAATTAAACATATTTGTATTATAAAGTAGCTCCATGGTAATGTGGAGTGTGTGTAACTCTCTGATTGGGAAAGGTTGGAGACCCCTGACCCGAGACCATGCTGTGCAAACCCATGACACTAATCAACGCTAAGTATCAAAAGTAACTGAGTAACTCAAGTTGTGTAAGTTACATTACGTGACTGTGGATGTGACGTATTCACATTTCAGAGGATCTTTCCCAATAACACTGACCACTGCCTCTTTCCCTGACCACGTGTGACTGCTCTCTGAGGGGAGCTGCGGAGAGGTCTCTGGTCTCTGGTCGCTGGTCTCTGATCTCTCCTGTCTGGTCTCCCCTGGTCTCTGGGCTCTACTAGTCTCTGGTCTCTGGTCTCTAGTATTTCCTCTCTGGTATCTGGTCACTTGTCTCTTCTCCCTGGTATCTGGTCTCTGGTCTCTCCTCTCTACTCTCTGGTCTCTGGTCTCTCCTCTCTGGTATCTGGTCACTGGTCTCTGGTCACTTGTCTCTCCTCTCTAGTCTCTGGTCTCTCTGGTCTCTCCTCCCTGGTCTCTGGTCTCTAGTCTCTCTAGTCTCTCTGGTCTCTAGTCTCTCTGGTCTCTAGTCTCTCTAGTCTCTCTGGTCTCTGGTCTCTCTGGTCTCTAGTCTCTCTAGTCTCTCTGGTCTCTGGTCCCTAGTCTCTCTGGTCTCTAGTCTCTCTGGTCTCTAGTCTCTCTGGTCTCTCTGGTCTCTGGTCTCTGGTCACTTGTCTTTCCTCTCTAGTCTCTCTGGTCTCTGGTCCCTAGTCTCTCTGGTCTCTGGTCTCTGGTCCCTAGTCTCTCTGGTCTCTGGTGAGTCCCCCTGGTGTCCTCCCATGGTCACTATCGTCTCTGTTCCTTATTAACACATGACTTATTCTCGTAGTCGTCCCTTCGTACAAACGCAGCAACAGCAAAACTCTTCTTTAGAGAAGCAAGACACAAATATAGGAAGTAGAGTGTGTCAGTGGTCATGTGGGCAGCTGGTCCTGACTCGCTCTACAGTCTGACACCCCACATGGTAGAGGAGCTGCTCCCTGCGTCGCTGATAACACACATCTGTTTGCCTCTGGACCAGATAGTGGCCTGTACTTCTGCTGCAGAATCAGACTCTTCAGGTTTTATCTCCTGTCCACACCGCTCCTCTGCTGCTGACTCTGCGCTGCCCATTATTATTCTGTTGAGGCTAAAATATCACTTTGCTAATGTTTGCTAACATTGTTCTTATGTTTATACCTGATTATTTAGATTATTCACATATACAGAAATCATTGAGAGAAAAAACCCTAAATTAATTAACTCAAATTTTCAAAGCAACGGAAATTCCAATGCATTCAAATAGAAAATGATAGAGATTATAAACTGGTGTAGTGGAGACCAGGATGAGCAGCACTCCATCTAGTGGTGGAAGCAGGAAATTACATGTTGTATTTACGTGCATTTGTATGTCCAATTTACGTGAAGTTCCTGGAGGTGTGTCCACAATATTATTAATATTATCTATGAAATAATCACAAGTCAGAGAGACAGAAATTAGACACACTGCAATCATCCTGGTTCAGTCATGGTCCAGACTGAGTCCAGACTTCAGCACTTATGCAGGTTTCCTCCGGGCGCTCCGGTTTCTTCTACCACTGTAAACATGTGCAGTAGTTCAGAGGAAATGAGGAGGAGATTATAAAGGGTGTATAAAGAGTTTAGACAAGGGACAATTACTGCAATGTGGCCAAAAACGGAGAGAGGAAAGTCCATTTGCATGTTTTGTCTCTGTCACTAAACACAAGAACTTTGGATCGACTCAAATATTTGAAAATATCTTTATTAAATCAACCCATTGTGTAACAAGTCATCGCCGTCATCTCGGAAACATCACTTGAGCTTTGGTGAAATGCAGAAAATAACACAATATTCACTGAGCTTTCGGATCTAAATAATAAATGGTGGATTATAATAAGTGATGGTTAATAATTGCAGCTGTGTGTGTGTGTGTGTGTCATGTGTGTGTGTCATGTGTGTGTGTGTGTGTGTGTGTCATGTGTGTGTGTGTGTGTGTGTGTCGTGTGTGTGTGTGTGTGTGTGTGTCATGTGTGTGTGTCATGTGTGTGTGTGTGTGTGTGTGTCATGTGTGTGTGTCATGTGTGTGTGTGTGTGTGTGTGTGTGTGTCATGTGTGTGTGTGTGTGTGTGTCATGTGTGTGTGTGTGTGCAGGCAGCGGAGCCACAGCCGTGGTGCAGGCGGCGCTCTGTTCACCGCGACGCGAGCGAGTGGCCGTCAAGAGGATCAACCTGGAGAAGTGCCAGACCAGCATGGACGAGCTGCTGGTCAGAAACTATATATACTATAGATATATATATACTGTATGTTTTTATATATACTCTAGGGCTAGGCGGAGTGGGCACAGAGCACTGGGAAAAGTTTTTAAACATATTTGCAGAACTTTATTTAAATATTTTTAGACTTAGCGGTCTCAAAACAGTTTGCTTCTGTCTCTAGTTTTCACATGTATTTTTGGACCCGCTCAAGTTTTTCGGAAAGAGAAAGAAAAAGATGAAAAGAGAGGACCTCCCTCTCTCAGCCAATCAGCTCTCAGTAAAAGATAACTGTTGTGGTCTCATTGGTTCACAAAGTGTTGTTTTGACTGTTTTCAAGTGCTGAATGTCTTTACTGCAGGAGACAGAGAAGCACCAACAGCAGGAGTGAGATAGGGAAATAGTTAAATATTGAATTAATGAAATAGTGAAAGAGTGAAATAGTGAAAGAGTGAAATAGTAAAATATTAAATTATTGAATTAGTTAAATAGTTTCCTGTGGCCCGTGTCTGTTTGTAGAGGACATGTGCAGTGTGTTCTGTGGAGGCTGTTACTATCGAGGCCACAGAGAACCACATTGATTTCAGTTGGAGCAGAACGCACGGCTCAATAAATGTCTGTTCCGGGTCCAGCACAGTTTTGGTGATAATCAGGCGTTTGGTGGCGAGACGTACAGGAGCAGCTTATATACAGGAGCAGCTTATATACAGGAGCAGCTTATATACAGGAGCAGCTTATATACAGGAGCAGCTTATATGCAGGAGCAGCTTATATACAGGAGCAGCTTATATGCAGGAGCAGCTTATATACAGGAGCAGCTTTTATACAGGAGCAGTTTATATACAGGAGCAGTTTATATACAGGAGCAGTTTATATACAGTAGCAGTTTATATGCAGGAGCAGCTTATATACAGTAGCAGTTTATATGCAGGAGCAGCTTATATACAGGAGCAGCTTATATATAGGAGCAGATTATATACAGGGGCAGTTTATATACAGGAGCAGCTTATATACAGGAGCAGCTTATATGTATAGGCAAGGCAAGGCAAGTTTATTTGTATAGCGCAATTCATACACAAGGCAACTCAAAGTGCTGAACAAGGTAGCATTAAAATAAATAATCACAGAACATTAAAAAGATAAAATAAAAAGATAAAATCCCTCAGTTGTAGCACAGCTAAACAGAACTGTCTTTAACTTGGTTTTAAACATTGTCAGAGAGGAGGCCTGTCTCACATCTTCAGGAAGACTGTTCCAGATTTTAGCAGCATGAATCTGAAAAGCAGCCTCCCCATGTTTAGTTCTGACTCTGGGCACTAACAGGAGTCCAGTCCTTGTGCTCCTCAGAGTCCGGGCTGGTTCATATGGGACTAACATGTCACTAATATATTTTGGTGCGAGGCCATGGAGAGACTTGTACACAAGCAGAGCTGTTTTAAAGTCTATTCTCTGAGCCACAGGAAGCCAGTGCAGAGACCTGAGGACTGGACTAATATGGTTGTACTTCCTGGTTCTAGTCAGGACTCGAGCTGCTGCATTTTGAATGTACTGCAGCTGTTTTACAGCCTGTTTGGACAGACCTGTGAGCAGGCCATTGCAGTAGTCTAACCTACTGGAGACAAATGCATGGATAAGAATCTCCAAGTCTGCTTTAGACACTATGTTTTTGATCCTGGCAATGTTTTTTAGATGGTAAAAAGTTGCTGATGTTACTGATTTGATGTGGCTATTAAAATTTAAGTCTGAGTCCAGTATTACCCCTAGATTTCTGACCTTGTTTGAAGGTTTAAGGGAGAGAGACTGTAGGTGACAGATGACACTCTCTCTTTGTTTCTGGGGACCAAAGACAATCATTTCAGTTTTGTCTGCGTTTAGCTGAAGGAAGTTGTTTTGCATCCACTCACTGATCTGTTGGATACAGTGAAGGAGTGAGTCCACTGGTCCATGTTCTCCTGCAGTCAGTGAGACATAGATCTGAGTATACAGTAGTATAAGTATAAGATTAAGTTGCTTGTCAACAACACCAAGATAATCCAACTCCCCACTGTAGAACACACACAGGTGAGAGAGAGAACGTCATAGGTTCCATTTCTTAGCAATGCATTCATTATTGGTATATTCTCTGTGTGGCTTAAGGATAGACAAACCATTGGCCGTATATCAGGAGTGGACTGACTGGACATTAAACTGCTCCTTGTCCATTCTGATGCTGAGATAAGATAAGATAAGATTAGATAAACTTGATTGATGGAGAAATTGACACGTCACATTTGGCACAGATAGAATCACTCAGATCGGGCAAAAAGACAGTGTGCAAACATGTTTAAGGTAAAAATAAATTAAAAAGTGGCAATAGCAGTGCAGGTTTTTCAGTCCTAGTGCGAGTAAGTGACTTAATGTGACTTATTGTACAGTCTGACAGCGATGGGGATGAAGACAGATGGACAATGCTAACCTGCTAACACGCTAGCTCAATAAAGCCCAATAAAGAAGTATTTGCTTTTTTTTTTTCTTTTCTTTTTTTGATAGGGAAAATGCACATTCATGAACATCAGTATAAAACAAATGTAAATATGCCGGATTATAGCTACCAAGCTAGTTTTCATCCGTAGTCCCTGGGCAGGAAAATACATAGGAAACGACAAACATACAATACAATCAAATACAAAATAACACAATACAATACAGACAGAAGAGTCTAGTGGTCACATGACTGGTTTCTTTTCAGCCATTAAAAAATATCTCTGTAACTGTTTCTGCCACACTTACTACTTTGGGCTTAAACAATCAGTGGTCTAGGCCTCTCTGTGATCCTGGTGTTTGTATTGTGATATTCTGTTTGTAAATCCACATATGAGCCATAAGGATTGACCAATCAGATGCCTTCATTCAGGGGGAAACTCCAGCCTGCCTTAGCAACCATGTTAGCAACCCGTCTGCTTCTGTTAGCGCGCGAAGCTAACATCACAAATCAGATTCAGATTCATTTATTTGCCATTTGCAGTAAAACCACATTGGAAAAACTGTGCAAGACTACCCCAGTGTGCACCAGACAGAGAGGACGGCACACACCACAGCTCTTGCCAAATGCCCATATTAGGAAATTGCTTATGTTCAAAATGAGCTACTTCCACATTAAGGGAAACACATGGTGACGTCAGCACTCGGTCAGTCCACTCCTAATCCACACATGTTTATCCAAATAGTTTCTACTAGGTATAGAGGATTTTCTACTTCCGGGTGGATCATCAAGACTATTGGTCCTCCCAGTTGTCAATAATTCTGGTAATACGTGTACTGTTTGTCCAATAAGACCAGAGAGTTTTGTTCAAAAAGTGGAGGGGGCTGTTCTTTCCTAAAGTTTGGGAAAATCCTCCTATAAACCATTAAAGCTTGGGTCCTGAACTTCCAAAGAAGAAAAACGTTCAGTATGTTGTAAAATCTATGTCACTATTTCCTCGGTCTCAAAACTTCTGTCACTAGTTTTCACATGTGTCTAAAGCTCTGGCTGTAGCTGAGAGATGCCCCGGGTCAGTATAAATGTGTGTATATTGAAAATGTGCTTAAATGGTCTTTTTTGTCTTTTTCTACAGAAAGAAATCCAAGCGATGAGCCAATGCAGCCACCCCAACATCGTCACGTACTACACCTCGTTTGTGGTGAAGGACGAGCTTTGGCTGGTGATGAAACTTCTGAGTGGAGGTGAGTCTAAAGTCTGGGCATCGAAAGGAGTGGCCTTAATACGAGAGATTTTAGCGGCATAAATCTGAAATGATGGCTTCCCATGTTTAGTCCTGACTCTGGGACCAGCAGGAGGCTAGTCCCTGTGCTCCTCAGAGTCCCAGCAGGAGGCTAGTCCCTGTGCTCCTCAGAGTCCCAGCAGGAGGCTAGTCCCTGTGCTCCTCAGAGTCCCAGCAGGAGGCCAGTCCCTGTGCTGCTCAGAGTCCAAGTTGTGGCACCAATATGTCACAGACCTGAGACCTGGACTAATGTGATGGTACTTCCTGGTTCTAGTCAGGACCAGTGGGGGCGGGTCCCGGCTCAAAAGTGGCCTAAATGACGTGCGCTGACATGCTGCAATACCACCCCGGGCCGATGGGGGTGGACCCAGAAGTAGAATTAGCCAATGCTAACATATAGCATTGGCAGACCTCTCAAAAACGTCTTTACAGGATGGACCAAAAGTTGGCTTTTGGCCCAAAGCTCCGTTCCACATGTGTGTCAATGCTGAGGGGGTGGATTTTTTTTGGACCACTCTAGTTTACTTGCTGTGAATTTTTGAAGTCTCGTTCAAATGAATGGAGCTGCGCCGGCTGACGCATGCGCAGATGCGGTTTTTTCACAATTTTCTTGTGGGCGGGACCACTCGCAGCCATTTTGGATTGCTCCAGTAGAGCACATTTTTTGGCCCATTAGTTAGAACGGCGGAGATAGGCGTGACTCTGTCCATTAATATATACAGTCTATGGTCAAGACTCGAGCGGCAACGTTTGAATATACTGTGTATGTTTTAAGCCCAGTTTGAGAGCCCGATGAGCAGGTCATCACAGTAGTCTAATCCAGTGGTCCCCAACCCCCGGTTCACGGACCGGGACCGGGCTGTGAGACATTCAAACTGGGCCACGAAGGAAAGAGTAAATCATTTCCATATTTATTTTCAGATTCTAAACAATCTTTTATTTTGAAAAATATAAATAAATCAGTGAGGCCTGGTGCTCTGTGTTCTGGGTGCTTGTTACGACCCGGCTCAGCTAGGTGTGAGGAAGTAACAAAATAACCAAGATGGTAGAATGGTAACTAAAATCATAATTTATTTAGGTGACAAAGTAGGTAAAACAAAATAGGATTAATATCTACATAACACACAGTAAATAAATAACCTATTAAAACAAGTAAGCAATTGACAAAACCAAAAGTGTAACCTAAACTAAAGTGTCTCAACATAAACTAAACAAGTCACTGAACTAAGGTACCGGCCCAAGTGACAGAACACAGACAAAACTAACGGCGAACTGGAGTCCACTGACTCCAGCTGCCCCGAGCCGCGGAAGATTGGCAGTTTATAAGGGCGGGTCCTCCAGGTGAGCGCACGCTGATTAGGCCTGCCTCAGCTGCTGCCCAACCAGCACCCAGGCATCGCAGTCAATCAGCTCCAGGTGGGGAATGACTGGCCAATAGGAGCCCAGGACTCACGAGCGTGATCTTCTGAAAAAAAAGGGAGGAAACACAACCACACAGAGACACCACGGGAGAAACTAAAGTGATCCCCAAAATAGGGAATTACGGGCCGTAACAGTGCTACCTCCCCGACCCAGAACTGGATTGAGGGGTAGAAAATGGATGGACGGATGGTTTGGCAATGGCGGCAAATGTTATAGTAAAATAATCAGTTTTGGTTCGGCTCCAAATATCAAGAAATTGAAGCCGGAGCAAGAGGAATGTTTAGCATATGTCATTGTTGCAAAGATGTTGTGGCTCTACTCCGCAAGGGCTCCGTAAGTGGCAAAGGAGATGGCTATAGCTAGGCTAAAGGCTAAAGCGATGGACTGCTATACTCAAGAGCAGTTACTTAAACCAAACTTTACCCAAGTTAAAAGAAACATCCGTGTCTTAATTTGTCCGTATTCAACATTTTAAAACAATTCACAGATTTTACGGCCGCCATCTTGGTTTGCTTCGGCTGTCGTGAGACGCAGGTTTGCATTCCATCATAAACAGCTGAGCCAGTACAGACCGACGTTACAGCGGTGCTCCATTATAATATTCTTTCCTCTGGTCCTGGATGCACCGCGCTGTGACATTAAAAGACTTATTATGAAAGTGGGAATCTTGCTTTAACCCTTGTATTTTTACACAATCCTGTCTTCCCTGTGGTGAAAATCAGCACAAGTCCAAACAACACGCCACCCTTTCCCCCTGTTATCCGTGGCCTGCAGTATGAAAACACCTGAAGAAGTCACTTTAGGATATAGTGTCATACCCTTCCTGATTTTCTCATTTTCTCCCACTGGGCTTTTAGAGTTGTTCCTCTCTGATGATTACTCCACACTCAACCACCTTTATGGACTTTTCCAACATTTGTGGACATTGGTCATCTGTCACTTTTGGACCAACGGCTCTGTGTGTTTTTAAGTGTTTTTAATCATTGCATTTCCTGTGTTTCAACTGTTTCTCTGACCTGTGTTGCTAAATATGACGGTTTTGTAAAGTCCTCCGATAATTACTGTTGTGATTTAGGGCAATAAAAAAATACATTGAATAGAATTGAACTATAGCAGACAGAAGCAGGTTTACCGTATTTTTCGGTAGTCACAGTTTTTGTCATAGTTTGGCCGGAGGTGCGACGTATACTCTGGAGTGACATTTAAATTTAAATTTTATATATTATTTACCGTAAAATATCAAATAATAACGTTTTTTGAATGACTCTTACCGTAATATTACCGTTCACAAACCAGGCACGTTCTCAGTTTATTCTTTATGTGTCACATGACGTACACTTATACCGCCTGTTGTTCTCTATTCAATTTTTATTTTAAATTGCCTTTCAAGATAAATTTATTCTTGGTGTTGTACTTTATCACATACATTTCCCCCAAAAATGTGACTTCTACTCTAGTCCGACTTATACATGTTTTATTCTGCACCTTCTTTATTATGCATTTTCGGCTGGTGCGACTTATAATCCAAAAAATACGGAAGTCTTTTCCTAAATCCAGTGATATTTTTGTCATTCTGTGAACAATCTAAACTTTGCGTGTTGTGTTTGCCGTCTAGGATCCATGTTGGACGTAATCAAGCACATCAGCAAAGAGGAAGGCCAGAGCCGCTCTTTGGACGAGCCCACCATTGCCACCATCCTGCGGGAGGTGCTGGAGGCGCTGGATTACCTGCACCGAAACGGACAGATCCACAGGTAACTCCACAGGGGGGTTATGTTTGCTCGGAGTAGCGTGAGAGAGAGCGGCCGGAACAAAAGAGCAGTGGTTTTGTGAAGGTCAGTGGGGGAGGCCAAAGTGGGACAGGCCCCCGGGCAGCGCTCCGGCCCGGGTGGTGCTGGGAGGCGGAGCTATTGATGTGCTTTCTGACTGTGCTTTGTGTGGTTAGAAAAAGCTCTTGTGAAAACCGAATTCTCTCCTTCTCCAATTGAATCCAACAGAGAAAGACACATGTAAACAAATCTAAACTTTTTGAGACGGCCTTAATTACCTGTAATTGTTTTACTTGATGTGTGTACCTGTCATTTTAATGTAATTTTATCTGTCTGTTGTGTATATATGTAACTTTGCTGTCTTTTAGCCAGGACTCCCTTGAAAAATAGGTTTCTAATGGTGCATTCAGACCGCAAACGCTGAAGGCCCGCTCACCAGACGCGCATTCTCTAATTTTCAGACACAGAGGTCTTCACACCTGAACGTCCTGGCGCACGCTGGAAGTGCCGGAAGTAGCCGGCCGGCTCTAATGCTGACAGAGCTATGCTAGCGGCTTCTTGTGTACAGATCTTCTCCAATATGCAGCTTTGCCGCGTGTCTTTGCTCACAGACCTTCCACGGGCTTTATATAACAGTAGTATGTGTTCACGGAGGTGTGCCATACGTTTTTTGTATTATTAAACAGTGTTTCTGCATCGGCAAACACACTCGAAGCAGTTGCATAAGGTCACAGGAGCATGACAACACATATTTTCACAAGCACAGAGTCCCCCATTGTCAACCCTGGTTTGAGTTCTGGTGAAGTCTGGTGTGGCTCCTGTTTTGGTTGTTTACTGTATTTTCAGTCTGCTCGTTCAGACCACCAATGTCCCTGTGACCACTTTGCTGCTCTCTGATTGGTCGCTGCTCGAACGTCCCGAGGAAAGGTTGAGCAAAGTTTATCTCCTGTGGGCGTCCATTTTCCGCTCCTGCTCCTCCCTTTTGGCTTTCCCGCCAAGTCCGTGCGTCTTTACTGAGCGGTCCGGGCGTGTGTGCCGAGAGGTCCGTGTGTTGTGACGGTCGAACGCTCGTCACCATTGACTTTGCATTGAAAGTAGACGCAACGCATGATCCCGTCTGACCGCGGCATTAATCTCAATGGGATTTTTCCTGGTTAAAAAAAAACAAAAACAAATTAAAATCATGGCTGAAACTACAGTCCATTCGGAGATAGTGGTTCTACTGCGGTTGAGCTGCATGTAAACACGTCAATCGGATCCTCATGAGACAACAGCAGTGATGCGTTTAAGAGCACAGAGAAAAAACAAACTTATATTGGTCAGACTCAGGCCGCTCACTCACGTCTCTCGCTGCACGTGTTTTGTTGTCTTGTTTTTTAGGCAAAGCCAAAACTAAACTTATCAAGAATCACACAAGGCATTAAAATCACAGAACATCAAAAAGATACAATCCTTCCCCTACTAAAACTAAACAAACAAATCTGCTTTAAAAAACGCAGCAGAAACTGAGTAAAGAACTAAACTCATCGCGCTTAAAACCCATACGCTCAAAAACCATAATCGTTTTTCACTGTTTAAATAAATATTAAAATTTGAATACATTCAATAATGTATTAGTATTTTTATATTCAGAGTCATTTGATTTGCCGTTTGCAGTAAAACCACATTTGAATACATTTGCAAAAGTCCCCAGTGGGCACCAGACAAGTACATAAATAAAACAAGAAGTACGGGAATAAAACTAATTTTGAAAGAGCAGGAAACGACTGACTCTGTACAAAGGCAGGATCATTTAAAGTGCTCTGCTTCAAGACCTTATGCAGGGTTTGATTGATTTAGAAATACAGTTTAAATACCATTTTATATTAGAAGAGAACTACTAAAGGTTTCAAAATCAATTGGTTTTTATTTGTCTGATCTCCCCAAATCGAGATTAGACCATTGCAACGCCCTTAGAGACAAAAACAGCAAATATGACAGTACTACCAGTGTATGTTTCCTTGTTGGCGCTACGATAGTCCAGTGGTTGTGGACCATCCTAGCAGCTGGTGTTCTAATCTTAACTCAGTCACATTTTCACTCTCAAAACGGCAATATATGTGTAATGAGCAATTGACACCTGTAGAGCGCAGTATTGTGTCAGACATGAGTGGGGAGAAGAGAGGATAGGCGAGTATCTGTGGCATAGATCCATGGCTTTCAATGTATGGGCGTTACCCGCTATAAATAAACTTGCCTTGCCATGACGTCACACACAGGTTAGAGGAATAGGCAACTTAAATTCATTAAAAACACATTCTTTTTATAAAATATAGGATTTTTTTTTTTTGCCGGAATCTATTTCAGATCGACAATAACTAAATAACTGTCATGCAATTTTGATATCCACAATAAAAATAAAAAAAACCCTGCAAAAGGTCTTTTAACTACCACTGTTTACAAGCATTATTTAATAAATGCTTGTAATATCTTACTGGATGTAGAAAAAAAAGTTATAGCGGCTATTGTTTTGTCCACCAGAGGGCAGTGCAGGTAATCAATGCTGTTTTTAGAAGAAACGCTGTCAACCCCAGTTCTCCATTTCTCGATGTGTCTTCACTTTTCCTTTAAACAAGTGTGTAATAACTGGAGCCGGCGTCGTACGTCCACACGCCCGGTGCAAGTAAGTAAGTAAGTAAGCTTTATTTATATACCGCCTTTCACAGACCAGAGTCACAAAGCGGTTTACAATTGTTATTTTTTGGGCACTTGTCCTCTCACTCCACACAGAGATGGGAGCGGGGTCGCCGAACAGGAGGCGCATGCCAGACCTATTGTACATAGGTCTGGCATGCGTACGGAGAAAAACAATATTTTGACCAATTCTAAAATAGGATCATTTATCTGAGCATGACTTTCTGGGATTGATGTGAAAAATCAACATTTGCAGCTAAAACACACAAAAATCATGCCAGTTTAATATTCAACTATTATTTGTCTGATATTTGTTTGAGTGTCATTAATCTTTGTTAATATTTGGATTATGTTCAAATATCTGATTGAGCTGCAGCGCCACAGTGCCCTCACCTGGCAGCAATCAAGCATTACCCTGCACCAAGCTTTACATTGAGAGGAAGCTTCAGGCAGCAGCTTTCGTTCATCCAGCAACCCTCCTCCTCCCCATCACCGCCTCGTTCCGGGCCCTTCTCCTCACTCCCACCACCAGAGTCTAGGCCCTGGGGAATTTTATCTCATAATTTCTATCTTTATTTCCTAAACATTAAATCTTAACCACACTTCTTGTACAGCATGAAATAAATTTAATGTGGAAATTTAAATTTAATGTCTTACAGTGTCAGTAAACTTCCCAATATACAATTCTAATATATATGTTCTGTCTTTTCGAGTTTCTTCAGATTGAAATGTCTGTATGAGAACAGTTTTACTTACAATCACCGTTACACAGTTTGAGGAATAAGGGAAAGTTACGAGACGCCTTTGAAAGCGTCCTCAGGTCTGGAGGTTTGAGTCTTCTCCGCGGGTCGCACAGACCTCAGACCTGTTTGAGAATCCACCAATGAGAGAGCAGCTTTTGAACATACTCTGTGTTCTTATGTTTTCTTTATGTCTTTACTTCACAGAGACGTGAAAGCGGGAAACATCCTTCTGGGAGAGGACGGCTCGGTGCAGATCGCAGGTGCGTCTCTCCTCCTCCACTGACCCATCCCGCTTTGTTCTGTCGAGTTGGTCTGCCCGTCAACATGAGCTCCCTAAGCTGTTTATGATGTAATGCAAACCTGCGCATGCGCGTCTCACAGCAGCCGAAGCAATTCAAGATGGCGGACATAAAGTCTGTGAGTTATGTAAAAAGTTTAAATACAAACAAATTAAGACACAAATGTGTGATTAATGCAATTTGAGGCGAGATGTTGATGGTTCCATGTTGTTATATGTGGGTTTTAAGAATCAAAGTTCTGTGTAAAGTTTGGTTTAAGTAGTAACTGCTCCTGAACCACACTGCTGCTGTGTGATAGCAGAACCTTTCCTGTCGAGTTGAGCTGCGGCCTACGTCATTTTACTGACGTAGGCCTGGGTTAGGGTTAACACTCGACAGCTAACAGCTTCCAACTTAGAGTTTGGTTATTATTTCCATTATCAACCCAACAGCCCAGTCAGGTTGTCGACTGGTCTATAGCTGTCGAGTTAGCCACAGGACGCGTCATCAGCCTACGTCAGTAAAAGGACGTATGTCGCAGCTGAACTCGACAGGAAAGGTCCTGCTATCACACAGCAGCAGTGTGGTTCAGGAGCAGTTACTACTTAAACCAAACTTTGACTCTTAAAACCCACATATGACAACATGGAACCATCAACATCTCTCCTCAATTGCTTTAAAAGTGACATTTGTGTCTATATTTGTTCGTATTTAAACTTTTTACACAATTCACGGTCCGCCTTCTGGTCTTGGTTTGCTCCGGCTGCCGTGAGACGCGCATGCGCGGGTTTGCGTTACATCATAAACAGCTGAGGGAGCTCATCTCGACGGGCAGACCACTTCGACAGAACTCCGCCATGGCCTTTTATACCTAATTTTAAATAACGTTTTTGGAGAAAAACACTCACGTGAACCATCATATTTGAAACGATGAACCCAAAACCCAATTAGTAATCTTTCATAGGAGTAAAAGACTTGTGTGAAGCAGTCCACAGTGCACAACCGCAGAAGCAGCTCTAAATCTAAATCATGGATGTCACAGTCAACGCCCGAAATGAATGATCTTGGCCTTTTGGGATGATCTTTGATTAGTATTAGAACCGGTCGCACAGGGCCATAAGAAAATATTGGATTATTAGTTGAAGGTTCAGGACGTGTGTTTTCTCCAAGCTGTTGGAAAATGTTTTCCCTTTATAGTACTGACAGAGCCATACACAGATATTGGATTATTCATTAAATCATTAAATTAAATATGGTACACTGTATTAGGTCTTGGTTCAATAGGTTATATGCATAATTTCAATATATTCTATAAACACTGAACCAGTCCAGCTTGTAGCAAATTAGTTTTTTTTGTCTTATGCACAGCCTAACAGAACTGTCAGAGAAGAAGCCTGTCTCACATTTTTAGGAAGACTGTTTTGGATTTTAGCTGCATAAATCTGAAATGCTGCCCCCCCATGTTTAGTCCTGTCTCTGGGACCAGCAGGAGGCCAGTCCCTGTGCTCCTCTTCATATGGCACTAACATGTCACAGATGTAGTGTTGTAGAATTACATACCCCAATGAAGGAGAAAGCTCAAAGGTCTTTGTCTTAATTATCAATAAATCAATTAATCGCACGATAAATAAAATTTGCTCAATAACTTTTCTGGCCGCGATAAATCCCATTTGCATGCTTGTTTGTTTCCCCCGTCTCTCTCGGGTCAGAGAGCCGCAAAGTGGTCACGGGAACATTAGCGGTCTAGCAAGCAGACGGAAATTACTCAAAAATACAAAATACAGCCAAAACAGGACCTAAACCAGGACTTAACCAGGATTGATAATGGGGGACACAGTAGTTGTGAACATATGCCGGCAGCTGAGTTCTCATTCAGGCTTGATTAGTGACTATACTAGCGCAGCTAGCGTTAGCGTGTTCGCCGATGCAGAAGTACCGTACCATACCAATAAAATAAACTTATGGCGCACCTCCGTGAGCACATACTGCTGTTATATAAAGTCTCTAGAAGGTCTCTGAACACAGAGATGCTGCAGACTTGCATTCTTGGAGTAGAACTTTACACAAAAAACCCGCTAGCTTAGCTGTTAGCATCAAAGCCTGCCCCGCTACTTCCGGTGGGCGCTACCGCAGCAGGACTTCTGTACGCCCCATTGGTAAACCCACATGTCAGTCACTTGTCATTCGCCTGGTGTGTGGGGAGGTGGGACTACTCCTGAGAGATCCTGTCTTAAGCCACACAAAGTCAACATGTTGGTATTTCTTTCTCGTAATCTGCCATAAAGTCTGAGAAATTATTGACATTTGAGGCATCTGTTTCATATTTTCTTTACAAAGGTCCTGGCAGTTTTATTCCTGGTCATTTTTTGTTAAGAGACTGAGTCTATTTTATTTATTGTTTTTGGTTGTTTGTTAATTTATTGTGTTCTAGCGTTAAATATTCGTTAAAAATAAAAGTTTATTTCTCTTTGAAAAGGTGTACCTACATTATCATTGTAATCGATGCAAATGATCTCAGAACGACAATATAATCGCTTATCGCAATAATTTCTGAGACAATTAATCGTCCAGCAAAATTTGTTATCGTGACAGGCCTAGCTGGCGTGACATTATATTTTAGATCGAGTTTTGATGAAACAAGGAAGAGAATGTGTTTCGGATCGCAGATTGTGACCAATCACAGCGCAACGCTAGCCCCCACTTTTGTGAGAAATCTACAGGTCCGTTAGCATAGACGGCTGAGTTAGCACAACAAGCGGCGGAGCTAACCTGGTCACCGGTTACTGCTTACACAGCGAAACAGCCTCCGCACTTCCCGGTTCTATTGTTCTATGGTCACGCCATCCACGTGCAATTCCATATCCATGTATTATCCATATTGGGAGATGCTAGCTTCGTCAACAACAGTGAGTGTGTGTGGGGGGCGATAGCTTCGTGGGTGCGGGGAGGGGAGCAGAAAGAGCGAGTCCGCAGCTTCAAAATCCCAAAGTCAGTCAGTGCCGCTTTAAGCTGGATATGAATTTTGACACACCATACCGTACATACCGATCGGAAAAAAAACATTTTTGTTTCACTTTTGCCGCTTTACTCGTTTGCATTCCATTGTTTGAGGCTTGAAAATTAGGTACCCCAGCTTTTTGTATTCTTTTTTTTATATTTTTATATACTAGAAAATGTTATACTTCAGAAATGTTGTATAATACCTTATTCTTTTCACTACATTTGACTTGTTTGCACCAAGAGCCAAAGCAATTTCCTTCTCCGTGACTTCCTGTTACTTACATGGAAATAAAAATTCTGATTCATTTTGACATCACTTCTGTACAATTCTAGCCTGGTCGTACCACACCATAGTACAAATTACATTACGTACTAAGGTCTAGAGGTGCTCCTTTGAGTTCCGTTTACAGGTGGGAGGGGTTAACTCCTTTTGCAGATTGAAACCATTGGATCCGAGTTTACCGTCACGTATGTAATGCGCCCGAGTGAGTGAGGCATGTAGCATTTAGCCTAGCTTTAGCATTTAGCCTAGCCATCATCTTTGCAGCGATTACATTTGCTAAACATTCCTCTTGCTCCGGCTTAAATTTCTTGATAGAACCAGACCGGATTACTTTACTATCGCATTCTTCGCCAGTACCAAACTACAACCTTCCCGTTCAACGCAAACTCTTGACGTCACCCGCATCTAACTACAACAACCGCCTCCTGCGCTCTCTGATTGGTCGGTCGAAATTCAACCGAGTGTAATCGCAAACACAGGGACCAGACCCAGACGTTACATGCAGTGAAATGCTGATTGAGCGGAGAGTACGGATGGATAAGGCCAGGCTAGGACATTTCCCTTTAATTATTCCATATCTGCCATTTTGTATTGAAAACTTTAACTTGTGTTGACCCAGTTTCACAGAAAGGGGCAGTGAGAATCATCCACAGAAGAAGAGTCTGCACATAACCCAAGTTTATAAAAGCAACAAAAGACAGAGGTGTTTGAGTAAAGGTGTCAGCGCTGGATCAGTCTGGACAGGGAAATTAAAACGCAGAAATCAATAGAAGTATTTAAGAGAAATGCCAAATATCCGTCACAAAGTTATGAGGAGGCAACGTAAATGTCACGTGGAGGTCTAGTGAGAAAAGGAGGTAGTTTTTACTTTGGCTTTTTCTTTATCCCAGGGTTGTAGAGAATTGTAGCTTATTTATTATTGTAGATTTATTAGCCTCAAACTTCTAACCAATGGGACCATGTTGACCAAAGCTGGAATGGATACCATCGGCCAACCAGCTTCTCGTGCCTTCAACAGCTTGTCAAAACTGTGTCAGGCCCAAGACCGTCTAAAGTGTACGGTCCAGAGTCTCTGCTGCAATCATCGCAAGGGTGTGTATATTTTATTCTCCACTACTTTTTGTCCCCTTTTTGTTCCCCCTATCCCCTTTTCCCTTGTGATGGGCAGAGAAGCTAAAAAATAAATAAAATAATAATAATAATAATAATAAAATAGAATAAGTAATTAATTGAAGAATAAAATAACATAATATATATACAAAGCAATATATTCAAGCAATGAACTAATATTCACAGCAAATATACAGTTGGGTAAATACAAAGTGCTGATTTCCTCCGTCAGAGACATAACGACTATATGTAAGATACGGCAATCATACATATAATTATGTCACACATGTTCACACAAACAATATTGGCAAAGATATCTCAAATGTAACAGGATTTATACATCCAGGTCTAATCCAGTCTAAGTGTATTTAATGGATGGGACCAGCAAGAGATACTGTAAGTGTTGTTATATAGGTTTCTTATGAAAGTTTATTTTGCTTTTCTATTTATTTGGTTTAGAATTGTTTTGTAAATTTGTAAATAGTAATATTTTAGTTTTCTCCAAAAGAAAGTATTTGTTATTACACTTTTATACATCGGTTTCATTTCGTAATTTTGTTCTCGCAAGAACTGGGGTTTACAAGGGGCCCTCAGGTAGACAGGCAGACGCTC